CGGGCCGCCGCGCACGTCACGCGGCGGCGGGAGGGCGGGGCGTGTTTCCCGCCGGTCCCGAAAGGCGCCAAAACAGGCGCGGGGTCGCGGGACCCGCGCGACGGGGAGAGGGTCCTTGGTCCCCCGGCCAAAAAGCGCCCACGGTCCCTGGTCACGGAGGCCTCGGTGGTCCCGTTGAGGCAGAAGCACCAGCTCTGCAGCAGGACGCAACACAGTGTCATCCGTTGGCGCAAACAGTCCCTAGCTCGGGACTTCAGAGCTCTCCATCCGAGTCCGTTTCTGCATTTTTACTGTCCATCATCTGGAATTTCAGAAATTCGGTCTATCGATTTAAGGAGATCAGCAACGAGCTGCAGTGATTCTGCTCCAGAGACCAACTGCCTGCAATGTGAGAGAAACACGCTATTAGTTTTACCTTTAGGAAAAGGCAAAGCACCTTGCACGAAGCACAGGCCCTGTTATGACACACAGTTTATCCAGTGGTTTCAACTGGGCTTGAAAGTCAAGTGTCAACTTGAAAAGCCAAAGCAGTGCCAACCTGACTGCTTGAAGGGAGAAAAACAACTACTACTACTACAAAAAGGTTTTACATTAAGTAAAAAACAAGCAAACAAACACACCTAAGACATCTCAAGTATTTCTGAATGACACAGTTGTCTAAACTGTGAGGCTAATAATATGCAGATAAGGAACAAGGACTAACTGATCTGGCATGCAGAATATAAGACCCTAAATTTCAATCATGCAAATAAAATCACTGGGAAAATTCAAAGCTGCCCTTTGCATTAGTACTTAGACAAGCGTCTGGGACAGAGTTGCACAAGCTTTTTTAAAATATCTTACTTTATTGAAGACTGAGAGCTTGCTATAACTGTGAGGAGGTTCTGTAGGGCAATATCTGCGTTTCGTTTCATTATGGCCAGACTAGCAGACTGGCCTGACCTCAGGGCTTCGTTCTCTGTCTTGTAATTTTTCAGTTGAGCCTTGACAAGGGAAAAAAAAAACAGCATCAACAGCAACAAACAAACACTTTACATGAAAAAAAAAAAAACCCTTCCATTACACACTTTCCAGTTTAAGCAGGGCACAGCAACTAATGGGCAGATACCTAGCAAAAATCCTCCTCAGAACTTTTTTGGGGCTACATTTAAGAATGATATTTTCAGTCAAGTACATTCGGTAAGGCCTTAGGAACAGTGTTTCACACCTGTAGTAAGGCATTTTCCTGCTTCAGTTTTGTAGCACTGTTCTCTGCTTTAACAGCCCGTTTCTGAAACAGAAAAAAATATATATATTTATAATCATAGTAGTGATTGAGGTTTGAGGCAATTTAAGGAACATAGGAATGGACAATTCCAACACATAGCTTGAAGTGACATGATTTGTGTTCACCAAACACCTACAGTCATCAGCTGGAGGTTCTGTTCCACGTGCTGCACCATTGCTTCCAGATCTTGAGCTTCTTTTTCTTCTTTAATTTTATTTTCCTCAAGCTTTCTTTCAAGTTTTCTCATCCTTAAAAAAAGAATAGTCGAAATGCAATCAGCCCTTGCAACACCAAAGCTCTGTCAAGAAAATTCGAGAAAGGGATCGAATAGCCCCTTCATCCACATTATACCAAAATGAAGTCTTCCTATAGAAGTAAACTTCTAGGCTGTGGCTCGGGGGATTTCTTTGCTCAGCATCCACTTATGGTAATGGGGATTATAGAGCTGGACGCAGAAGGGCTGTACAGAGAACGTGTATATTCACCATCAGTCTAGGTAAGGCTGTGATCTGAATCAGTCACCCCTCACCATGAACGTAGCAGCTGCCTTGCTACTAGCAGCAGCACAAAGTGATGCAGAGGGATCGGGTGGGAACTGAAGTCCAACCTCAGATCAGTCTGGATTGTTTAACTCCAGGAAAACCTTCTGGTACCAAGCTGCTCAGCAGCAACAATGACAAATACTTTCTTCCTTCAAAAGAATGACAAAGATTCATTACTTTGTTAATTTGAAGCTTTATGAAATGCTTCCTCTTAAGTCTCATCCATATTCACTCTAACCACATAAAATAAAGTGCAAGCCACTAAATGTGCTGAGCAAACACCAGCTTGCTGCTTATTCCCCGAGTGTTGTTCTGTAAGAAAATCAGGTTTATTGGAATCAAGCTTCCAAATAGAATAGATGTCAACTATGTTTTTCTTTTTTTAAAGATGTCAGCTCCATCCAGCGAGCACCTCTTCTAAGGGAATTTATTGATGCGGTTACTTTCCCCCATGCTGCAGTTTACGCACTTGTCTGCTTGCGTTTCAGAGAGAATCTGGAGCTTGCTGATCTTGCTTCTCAAAGTGGCATTCTCTTCTTGCAGCTAGAAGATAAAACAACGATCATTGGAAGTGAGGACACGGTTTCACAGCACTTTTACACCCGTGCAGCCCCAGGAAGCACAGAGACATTCCACTTTCTCCACCCAAATGCTGGGGAGTCTTTAATGATTCCACACCAGCCTACTTCCACACCCAGCTTTTCCCTCTTGGAAGCCGTTCGGCTCCGGCTCACCCTGCGGGGACAGGAACAAAGTCCCACGCGGCGTGTGGATGACCCAGCGCGGCCTCCCAGGCCGAGGGCGGGCGGCAGCGCCCCGGGAAGCGCCGGGACACCCGGGCCGGCGCCGGGG